AGTAGCCTTGCACATACCTGTTCTGTTGCTCCTGTTAGTACTTACACAGATCATCCAGTTGCTTCCCAAGCACATGGAACAGAAACAGCTCAGGATAATTTCTGTGGGTTTCTGTTTACTTTTTGCAATTATCCCACCTACACTTAGTAACAACTCCTATTTCTTCCACAAACTAAAGGAGATGATCTGATTTTTGGAAGAAGTCACACACAGACAACACAACTCAAAACTGTGCATTGTTTTAAAATGCACTGAATTTGGGGTTCTTGGTTTTATGAAAGATGTCCTGGTGTTCTTAGACATCTTTGCAGTAAAGTTAGAGCTTCTCTGTTTGAAATCTGTGGCAGAGTATCAGCACTGAAGGTGATAATCAGGAATATATTGATACCCACCTCTGCTACACCAGCCCCCTCCATGAGCTTGTGATCACAGCAGGAAACTTGGAAGGAAAAATAAATAATCCTCCTCTGAGTTGCTGAGTTGGAGAAGTTGGAAGAGTCTGTCAAGGTCCCAGTAGCACACTGGGAGCTGTAGGGAACAAAGGAAGAGCAAAACCTCTCACTTCAGGTGGGAGGAAGCCCTGAGTTAGCTGAGGTGATGATGCAGGTGTAACCCCAGACTGCTGGGAGGTGTGTTTTTCTTAACAAAAATGTTGCACAGTGTTAGATCACATCAATCCCAGTGTTAGACTGGCTGCTGCTTCTCTTCTCCCTCCCACCTCATCGGATGTTTTTGGTGGGGGCCAAAATTCCTGATGGCATTCCTGACAGGACTGGTGTGCTTCTGGTGTGTGCTGAGTTGTGACAGCTCTTGGGTTTCTCAGCTCAAAGCCCTGCCTGTCCCAGTGCAGTGTGTGACAAAGCCCCTGCTCTTCCCTGCTCTCCTCAGGGTTCTGCAGGAGTGGGTAACACACAACCCTCAGGTCCCACCGTTCTGGGAGGTGCCTCGGCTTGCACTTGGGTAGATCACCTGATTTTGAGGTGCCAGGTGGGTTCTTCACCAGTCACAGCCCACACAGAGCAGTTCTGCCCCACTGCCAGATTCCTCCAGAGCTGTCCCCTCCCTCCCCTCCTGGCACAGTGTGTCCATGAAGCCAAACCCTGGTGATTAACGGGCTGTTCCTCCTTGCAGGGCGAAGACAGCACTCCAGCAGTACCTTGCATGATCAAAGACTAATTGAATCCATGGACACCCCTCATGTCTCCTTAAGGAACAGCAGGAGATACTCCTGACTCCTTATATTTGCACAAGTCACCTTGGGCTGCATTTTTCTCAGGTGCAGGGAGCTGCTTTGCAGAAACAGTTCAAATGATCAGGTCTCCAGTGCACTTGAGAACTTTCTTGAGGTAGTTTCTTTACTCAGAGGACTCTCGGGGGGTTGTTTTGGTTTTTTGGGTTTTTTTCCTGAGCTACCTGGACTTTGGATAGAACAATCAGTCATTGTTTTCCTTTTGGGCCTCCAATTTTCTGCTTTTGCTGCAGCCTGTGTGTGTGGGTGTGTGCTTGGGTGTGTGTGTGCTTGGGTGAGTGTGGGTGGGTGTGAGGACTCACTTTTGGTTTTCCTTTTTTTTGTGTGAAAATCTTTTTCTACAGGTTTTCAAGGGTTAACCATTGTTTGCTGTACGAATACTTCAGTGAATTATATACAGTTTGAATGAAATGTTATTTAAAAAAAAAAAACCAAACTGTTGTATCCCATAAAGTTTATTTTGAATTTTGAACAGATGAATGTTTTTAAGTAAAATATATGCATTTCTGAACTTCAGCTTAACTTACATTATACTTCCTTTTTAAAGAGAGAACTAGAGGAAGACAGTAGACCCCAAATTCCAAGCAGCACATTTTGTACTGACAAGATCAAAGAGTTCTTTACTACAATGCAAGGTCACTGGTACTGATAACATGCTCAAATCCGTGGAATGGGTCAGCTGGATTGGGTTTGGGTTTCTTTACATTTTTAGAAGACAAGTTCATACTTCAGGGTTAGGGGCACTGTTGGCTTTTCTGGGAAGGAGCACGTGGCTGCAGGATCAGCAGGAATAAGCTTTGCTTTCCTAGCCAGGAATTTGCTCAGCTAATTGCTGAAGGATTGGCTTGTTCAGGGGAGAGGGATTTGCTGATCACTGGTACCAGCAGAGGACCAGTGTGGTGCAGAATTAATTTGGCAGAGAGCAGAAGGAGCTGCCAAGCAGTGGTTAAGGGATTGCTTTTGTTCTGCATCCTTTGCCTCCACAAAGAGTTAAGTGACTTCCAGATCATCTCCACAAAGGATCTGCTGGGAGCATGAGGTTGGGGGAGGGATGGAAAAACCAGAGCTTTGGTTTGGTTTTGTTTTCTGGCTCAGCAGTGTTGCTGCAGATCCCTGTACATAGGCAGATACACACTTGCATGGATTTAGATTCCTGGATAACAAGGATGGGGTTGGACTGTGATGGGATTGGACTGCACCTGGAGGCCTTGACTGTGCCTGGAAGTGTGGAAAAGCAAACATGAGTGCAGACCAAGACTGTGGGAGGTTAGGCTGGAATGGGAGAGCCCAGGGCTTTCCCAGGCAGGTGTACCTGGAGCATCAGGGCAGCAGGAGCCTCCTCAGGGGTGCAGTCCAGGGCTCTGGGCCCTTTGGGGTTCAGTTTAGCCCGTGGTTAAGCCAGACTCTGCAGGCACTGTATTTCCACAGCACTAACAGGCACTAGGGATTGCAGCCAATGGCTTAAACCAAATCTTTCTTCTCCTACACTGAACTTTAGGGGGGCTGCAGCAAAAAGAGAGGTCTGTAACTTTGCTAACCAATTTTGATAAGTATCTAAATCTTCTGTTTCTGATCAGAAGGTCAAATTGTGACAGCCTTACTTTTTTTCCAAGGTAAACTACTTGTGTCAGAAAATGTGACCACAGTTTGGCCTGGAATTTGAATGTGCTGTGTATCAGATAACTGTTATCACTTGGTTGCAAAGGACAATATCTACATTTCATGTAACTTCTTCCACTCTCAAAGACAAATAAAAGTGAGCACCTGACACTTTTCCCCCAGGCATTGCAGTAAGTGACTGGCAGTTTTTTAATGTCCTTCTGCAAATTTTTCATGATGGACTTTGGGGGTTGAACAAAAGGGACAGTAAAAATACGTGAGAACTTGTTAAATCTCAGTACCTCAGAAGCAAAAAGTCTTGTTCATAAAATTGAATCAAATATATTTTTACCTGAACTGAGAAGGAGGTTCTGAGGCAGGTATTGTAAGTGCAAAAGTGTCCAATGTGCTCAGTTTGCACTCCTGTGTTTGTTTAGGAGCTCAAGTTCTTCTGTATCTCTTCTCTTCCTTCCCCAACTCACATTTCTAAAAGCAAATCTGAGTTTGATTCTGTAGAACTTCGGTGCCTAAAGGTGTTCAGAAAAAAGGTGAGTAAAAGTATCTCTGTACAAGTTCTGAGGTGGTTTCCTACAATTCTGCCAGAAAAACTAAAAACCAATGCTCAGACAATCTCGTTGCTGCATGAGAACAGTTGAAGTTTTCCACAGGTATTGAGAGGACAAACTGTGTTGGATGAGGACATTTTTACATTCAGTTAAGCTTTGTGAATAATTTTTGATGTTGCTATAGGTATGTACAAAAAGAAGAATACTGTAAATAAAGAGAACTTTACCAGAACATGGAGATTTTTCTCAGCTTCCTGGAGAAATCTGAGCTCTCTGGGCCTGCCCCTCTGCAGCCTGAGAGTCACAGTGGGAACAGACTTTGCTGGTCACCCAGAGCTTTCCCAACTTGTGTGGCAGCAGCTTGTGAATGCCAGGGCTGTTTGCAGAACCAAAGCAGAGTTTGGACATCATGTGAATCATCAGGATTTCTGCTCTTCTTGTGCTATTTCTCTGCTGAAACCCCACCCTGATGAATTTTGATAAGTATGTCCTCTCTTTATATCTGGGTCTAGTGCTGGAAGTCCCTCTTGCAGAGGTAACACCTGTCAACAAAGTGAATTTGGGACAGGAGCTGTCAGACAAGTGAGACCTTTGGCTGCTCCCCACCACCTTCATTCCATGTTTGGACTGTCTTTCCCACACAGAAAATCCAGTGAGACACAATCTGGCTGTTCCAGTCACAGATGTGCATTGTGGCAGTGACAGAAGCCAAGTGACCTGCTTAAAGCACCTTGTGCCAGGACCTTCCTAAGGCAAACATTTCACATTTTTTAAAATTTATTTTTCCAGATTTCACCCAGTTGTAGCAGCAGCTGTGCCTCCCCAGAACTGCTGAAGCAGTGACACGACAGACAGAGGAATAATTGAGGGGCATGAAATTAGATTCTCGAGTAGAAATGGGTTGTCTTTGGTACTCCTGAAATGTGGGAGGTGTCAATGTGCAGAATTACAGCGGTGGTTGAAATCATCAGGGCTCCTCTGCAGGCTGATTTCAGCAAAAAGAGACATGTTGGGGGCACTGATGTACCAAAAACTGAACCCCCAACCAGGAGGGACCATGGTCAGCTGGAGGACCAGGCCACCACCTGTGTGCTGCGTGATGAGATGCAGCACAGCAGGGTCTGCCCTGGAGCCCAGGACCCCGTGGGCACGGATGGGGTGAGCCAAAACCTGGGAGGGGCTGGGCACTGGCACTGCTCTCTCTGCAAAGAAGGGAAAAACCAACCAGCCTCCCCAAACTGAGCTGTGTTTGGGGCTGGGACAGCAGGTTATCCCCAAACTGAGCTGTGTTTGGGGCTGGGACAGCAGGTTATCCCCAAACTGAGCTGTGTTTGGGGCTGGGACAGCAGGTTATCCCCTTGCTTGGGTCTGGATCCCACACCTCGCTTTGAGCCCCCAGTTCAGGAGGGACGTGGGATAACTGGAGTGGGGGTGAGTGGTGGAGGGGGGAGCTGGGCAGGGGTGACAGGACAGAGGAGGCAGAAAGGCTCCAAGTGCAGCTGCTGGAGGGGGAGTTCCAGGGTAGACAGAGCTGAACTTCCCGGCTGGAGCGGGCACGGAGGAGGGAGCGGGGTGGGCTGGGCTGACGTGCTGCCCAGGCAGAGCCAGCGCTGCCATGGCAGCCTTGGGGCCCTGCCAGCTGGACACAGGTCCTGGCAGGCCCTGCTGGGCCCATCCCCTTCTCCCACCCTCCAGGCGAGGGGGACAGGCTGCTGTGTCTGGAAGCGAGCGGCAGTTCAGGCCCTGCAGCAGCACCTCGACTCTGTGAAGGTAAGAGCAAAGCTGTGCCCAGATTTTGGGCACTGCTGAGCCACCCCCTGTCCTTGCAGCAGGGCCAGGGTGCTGCTGTGGGTGCTTTGTCCTGGGTGGAGGATCAGAGCCAGGTGAAAGGCTCTCTCTATGGTGCAGGTTGGCCAGCAGTTGGACCCACGGGATCAGAGGACGTCGGCAGTGCTTGTGCTTGGAGGGCTGCTCACAGGATCCTGTTCCTGCAGAGGGATGGCTGCAAAGAAAAAGGAGGTAGAGCTGCAGGTCAGTAGGAGCCAGGCTTTTGAAAGACCTTGTAAACTCATAGTTAAGTGCAAAGGATGAAATTCAGTCTGGAGGTGTCTCAGATGCTGCTGGCAGAGCCCTGCTGTGAGGTCCCTGGGGTGGAAAACATTCCTGAAGGCAGGTGGGAACAGTGGGGAGGCCTGGCAGGTCAGATCTGCCCCTTGTCAGTGCTGTGGGGGCACAGGGAGGTGGTTGTGGGGCTGCAGGTTGTGTTGCAAGCTCTTAGGGACTGGCACAGGTTTGGCTGCTGTCAGATCAGAATTCATCTGTGTTTCATGGGATAATTGCTCAGAGGACATCGAGGAGTAGGGAACTGGGGAAGGGGGGGTTTCTCCTGAGCCACAAACGTCACTGAACATCTCTGGCCAGGTCACATATTCAGAAGGCTCCCTGTAAAAGTTGGGAGGTACGAGAAAAATTCTAAGGGTAAAAAACCTATTTCACAATGATATGGGGAGGAATTTTGCCTTGTTTACAGTGCACAAGTGACCTAATGATGCTTTATAACTACTGCATGGGGAGAGAGGGGTTCTGGGAGTGGTTCACTATGAGAAAACATTGAAAACCCAAAGTAGGTTCTGAAGGTCTGCTTCAAAATTTAAAATAAGTTCAGTCTTCACAAGAGAGAAATAATGGAAGAGATTATGGGCTCTCTGGCCTTGTTTATTCACTGTTGAGATTGGAAAATGTGAACATGTGTACAAAAGGAAGAGGAGCTCTCTATTAAGGTAAGAATGGACTCTGTTGCTGCTTGTCCAGCTCAGTTCCTGAGTGATGATGAACCACACTGTGCCCCTTGGGCAGCCAAGGCAAAGCTGGGGCTGGGGCTGCAAAACTCTGGTTGTTCACACCTGCAGATGAAAGCTGAACCTTGGATATGATGGGATGTCCTGGAAAAGCTCTGGTGTTAATTATTGTGAAATAATTGCCTTGGGGCAACTTCCTGTCTTCCATTGTAGTCTAAATGTAGTTGGGATTGATGAGACCAGCTGAAGAAGGAATTGAGAATCCTCATTGTTCACGATGAACAAAACCAGATCTTCATTTCTCAAGAAGCCTTTTTTTTTATTAACTTGCTGTGTTTTTAAGTACCTACTGAGGGCCAAGTCCTGTAAGATGGGGAAGATGCTAAAGATCTTTTCCTTTCTAATAACAGTATTGGAAGTGTGGGATAATACAGCACATGGCACAGTGTATGGAATTGTCTAGGGCATCCTTGACAGGGTAAATCCCTGAGCAAGCTGATCTAACACTGAGCAGGGCATTAGATGAAGAACTCCACAGATCCCTCCCAACCTAGAACTTTGTATTCTCTGTTCACTGTGTTTTGGAAGTCTTTGGATACAGCTGGGAATTCAGGTGAGGACACGCTGGGCTCAGCCCCCCTCTAGTGCCCACACATCACAGGAGCTCTGTATTTACTGCTTTATTTGAGCAAGACTGAAACCTCTAAAAGTAGCACAGCTCATGTGCAGGCCAGGGGAGAAGCTGCTGCTGGAGAATCCCCTGCCTTGTGAGTCCCTGTGAGGACTGGGCTGAGCTGGGTGTGGGGAAGGGAGGCTGTGGAGCAGCAGCCAGTGCTGTGGGACAGCCCAGCCCATCCTCCTGCTCTGACTCCCTGCTCAGCTGGGTCCTGCTCTCAGATCTTGCTGCGTGGCCCCACAAGGAGTTGTGTTGCCAGAAAAGCAGGAGAGTGCCAGGAAGAAGCTGAGGCTGTGATGGGTGTCTCACAGCCCTTCCCCCTTGCTCTGTAGGTGACAGGGTCTGGTGGGTTCAGCTGGAGCTCTGGGCAGTCAGACAGGCCCTGACTGTGGGTCTGGGCTCCCAGTTTGGGGAGTCAGCTCCCAGAACAACTCTTGGCTTCTCTGCACACCAAGCCTGGGGCCCCCTGGCAGCCACTGTTCCAGTAGTGCCCCTAAATGAGGGAGAGCTTTCTCTTGGCTGGGTGCTGCTGCCTTTCCATCTGCCTTTCCCTGGATGTTGTGAGACATCGTGCCCAGCTGGTCAGAGGTGAGAGGATCAGTCAGGTGAGTTTCCTGAGTGCTCAGGTAACTCCTCTTCAGGCAGATGTGTCCCTCTTAAGCAGTTTGTCCAGATGTTTGCAGCAACTGGGTGGTACCTTTGGAGTTACTGTTGCTTTTACTGTGTTTTTACATTTTCACACAGATTAACATCACTAGCCAGGAGCTTTGGGAAGAAATGCTGTGTCTCAAAGGACTCATTGGTAAGGTTTGGTCAGCACACTGGGTTGCTCTTGTTCTGTGTTTAGAGGATGCCAGGACTGTTAGGAATTATTAGTGTTAAGGATGTTTAGTCAGTCCCTCCATTCCTCTTTCCCTGAATGGAAGGAAGAAATATTCCAACAGAGGTGAGACAAGCTGGAGGTTGTAGTCCTGTTCATGTGGGACAGTTGTCATGCAATCCAAGCAGTGCTGGTCCAGAAGCTTCTGGAGTGTCCAGTCCAGCCACTGCTTGGAGCAGGACTGTCCCCAGCAAAGGAACAGCCCTGGCTCCCAAGGGTGCTCTCCCTCTGCAGTTCTCCCTAGAAAAGCTGGTCCCTCAAAGGGCACAGCCATGCCCATGTTTCTTTTGAAGGCTCCTCCACATAATTATTAGCTCGATATTTTACAATGTGATCTCATCCTCTGATCCAGCATCTCAAACCTTCCCAGGGTAGGACAGTTTCCACCTCAGAGTTGAATCCAGCCCTTCTAGTGTTTGGTCTATTGGTCTGTGTCTGAACTGACCCATTTTCACCTCATTCTCACTCATTTTCCTGCTCACAGTTGTTGATGCATTTCAAGCCTGGTGTGGCCCGTGCAAAACAGTAGTGGATCTCTTCCAAAAAATCAGGAATGAAGTTGGCAGTAATCTCCTGCATTTTGCTGTGGTAAGATCTCATTTGACACTGCCTGCAATACCCAGTCCTCTGCAATTGGCAGGGGCCTGAAGGCTGAAGTGACTTTGTCTTTCCAGTATTCAGCCCAAAGGATAACAGTGCAGGAGTTGCAGCTGCTGGGAGGGAACCTGCCAAATACAGGTGCTTGGGTACATCTGTAAGAATTCATATAATGAAGAATTTTCAGGCTTTAATGGATCTGTATTGTCCAGATTTCTGCTTAAGCAAATAACACTGGACAGAGCTGTTAACACAAAGTCCCTCTGATGTACAGGGGGAGGCTGAAGGAGCTGGGTTTGGTCACCTGGAGAGGAAAAGGAACAGGTGTCAAGTGGGGGATGGATGGAGAAGGCAGAGACAGACATCTCTCAGTGGAACACAGCAACAGGACAGGAGAAAACGGGATAAGTTGCAGCAGGGAGAGATCCAAGTAAAGAGAAGGAAAAAGTACTTGGTGTAGGAATGGTAGGACTGGGACAAGTTCCCAGAGGTGCAGAGCTGATTCTGGGAGATGCTCAAAACTAACACAGCCTTGAACACCCTCCTGTACCACTGAGACCAGCCCTGCTTTGGGCAGTCTGGGATCAGAGCCCTTCAGAGGTCCCTCCCGACCTCAGTCCCACTGGGATTCCGTGTGTAAGTGCCTTTCCTGGCTGAAGGCAGCTCTGGATCTTGGAGAGAGCCAAGGGCAGGGAGGTTTCTCACAGCTCAGCACTCCTGCTGCTGCCTCTGCTGCCACCACAGCTCCTCCTGCCACTTCTCTGCTCATGGGCAAGAGGCCCCCATTTCATTTTCCAGCCTTCTTCTGTGGGACTCACCCAGGCAAGCTGCTGGGAATAGACATCCCTGTCCCAGCAGAGCTGCTGTTCCAGCTCCTGCAGGTGAGATCTGCCTGCTTCTCAGGTCCCTGCTGCTGAGCTGGGACTTGGTTGTGGCCCTGGCTCTGACTGGTGTCACTTTGTCCCCCCAAACCAGGCCCCAGAGGTGTTTCCCCGTGTGGGGGGTGAGGACCAGCCAGCTGAGGGGGCTGAGTCCAGGCATGTGCTTCCCTGTGGAGCAGAAATGCTTTCCTAGAAACACCTGCTCTATTTCCCGTTCCTTTCAGGCTGAAGTTGATTCCATTGATGCTCTGGAAGGATACAGAGGACAATGCCAGCCTGTCTTTCTGTTTTATGCTGTGAGTGAAAACGTTTTCCCAGTAGATGCACAGCAACAAACATGACCTGCTGGTGGGAACAACGGGCCTTTTGGAGGGATATTCTATTTCTTTAATGTGTGATGAGCAAATTTTATTTGCTCTGTATCTGCTGGTGATCAAGTGCTGTGGGGATTAAAATATAGTCAGTGTGTTGCCCTGTGGGGTCGTCAGGTTCAGTCTCCTGCCTGTGCAGGACCTCACTCCTCTCACAAACTGCTTTGCTTCATCCTAAGACTGATGAGGAACCACAGAGAAGGTTGTTCCAAAGCTTCCCTCTTGTGGAGCAGAGCAGCTCTGTCAGGGAGGAGGGCCTGGTACATAATGTTGTGGGTGATGTGCTGCTGGGGGGATTTCCAGGGCCCAGAGAGCACAATCTGAGCACTGACTGACTGATTGATTTGCTTTCCACACCTTCCAGGAGGGAGAATTAGTGGCCGTTGTAAGAGGAGTGAATGCACCACTGCTGCAGAAAACCATCCTGGAACAGCTGGCAGGGGAAAGAAAGGTTTTAGAACATGGAGGAGAGCAAGTGCTGGTAATGAGTCACTAAAACCTTAAATAGCTGTAGATGTGCATGTCAGAGGAGAGGTTCAGCTCCCCAGGGCCAGAACAGCTCTAAAGCAGAGTTCCTTCCTTGCAAAAATCCCCTCCCCAGCCCAGCCAACGTGCTGAGCCACTGCCACAGGAGCTGGCTTTTTGTGTGTGCTCCAGACTGCTTTGGTTCTGAGGAACCAAACTGCCATACCTGTGTGTGATCTGCTAGTCTGAAGGCATCCCAAAGCCTGCAGGCTCCCTCTGGTGACAATGGCTGGCCTGTTCCTGGGAAGGCTTTCCCCGGCTCTCGGTCAGCTGATTGAGAGCTCAGCCGGTGACCCCGGACAGGCAGAGCCTCTGCCCTCACTGCTGAGCTGAGCCCGGCCCCGAGGGCAGCAGAGGGCTGCTCCCTGCTCAGGTGGAGCTGGGAAGGGGGGCCCTGCCTGGCAGGGGCTCACCTGGAGGGCAGGAGGACACTCGGGACCTTCCTTGCTCATCCACCCGCTCTTGCAGATGCGAGACAGAGCCAAGGAGGAGGGAAGCACAGCTGCTCTGCAGGGACCACAGCAGGAAGGCTGAACAGGTAAGGCAGGGACAGTGTAGGATGCTCTCTGTGCCTTTGGTAAGTGCCTCTGCTAAAGCTGGAACCTTCAGCCAGGGTTCAGCTCTGCTGGGGCACCAGAGGGAAGATCCCCGTCCCTGGGCACTGCCCAGCTCTGCCCATCCCTGGCAGATCACAGAATCACAGAATCAGCTGGGTTGCAAGGGACCTCTGAGATCATCAAGTCCAACCCTTGATCCAACCCTGCCGTGGTTCCCAGCCCATGGCACTGATGCCACATCCAGTCTTATCTTAAAAACCTCCAGGGACGGAGAATCCACCACTTCCCTGGGCAGCCCATTCCAAGGGCTGATCACCCTCTCTGGAAAGAAATTCTTCCTTCAGCACATGGGAGTGTCCCCTTGGAACCCGGGTAAGACACCAGGGTAGCCTGGGTGTCTGATATCCCGAAACTCAGTATTTTTCCTTCCAGTGTGTGTTTTATTTTACATTTGACTCCCCTCACCTTCTGGCCTGGTGAGGGCTCTTTGGCTTTGTTCTGTTTCCAGCACAAACCACTGAAACAGCCGCAGCTGTGCTAACCCCCCCGCACCTCCAGGTGGTTTTTAAAAGAAAACACAAACACCTGGGCACCAAATCTGGTTACACCAGCTCCTGCCTTGTTTAAATTAGCCACCTCTTCCCAAAGGCTTTGTCTCTGGTCCTAAAAGGGACATTTTTTCTAGGCTTTCCTGGGACACGTTTGCAGCCTGGGGCTGTGCACACCAAACCCCGGGAATCGCGGCAGAACCCGCCCGGCTCTGGCTGAGGCCGGTGGGTGCCGGGCTGTGCCTCTTTTCTTTGCTCATCACTGACTTTGTCCCTTTCCTTCTCTCGGAGACTGATGGACCCCCCGGGTCCGGGATCGCGGCCGGCAGCGTGGAAGAGATGCGGGGTTTGCCGATCAATAAAAGGATTAGCGGGCAGCACGGCTGGCTCGGTGTCCCTCCGTGTCCCTCT